CACCACTGAGGCACACCATAGCCCCTACTTCATTTATTTTGTTTTATTTTATTTTATCTTTGCTGACTCAGCCCATCCTGGAGGCGGGGCTGATGACAATGGACAGTCCTTCCCTTTGCTTGCCTATACTGTAGTCTGCTGAGCTATCCCACCAGTTCCTCATTTATATTTTATTTTCTGTTCCTCTTTATTAATACAGTTTATGCAGTTGCCTTTTTTGTTTTTGGTCTTTTTAAAAAAAATTTTATTTATTTATTTATGTGTGTGTGGGGGGGCAGCTCAGCCCACCAGGGGGCGGGGCTGGCTGGCATGTGGTGCTGGGGGATTGAACCGCAGTCCCTGTGCTTTGCTAAGCTTGTTCTAAGTAGGTGCTTTAGACCACTGAGCCATCTCACCAGCCCCCCCCCCCCCAGCCATCTCACCAGCCTCTGTTTTTGGGTTTTTTTATTGTTTTGGTTGAATTGTCTTTTTAGGAGAGGTTTATTTTTTGGTTTTGGTGCCAAGGACCAAACCCAGGGCTTCTAGCTTGCTAGGCAAATGTCCTACTGCTGAGCCAAATCCCTAGCCCCCTCAATATGTTGTGGTTTTTTTTTTTTTCAGTCTTTCTAAGGTTGGTATGAAGATTTCATTGCAGAGGACAGAGAAAAGGGTCTTTGTGCTGGACATGCTGGCACACACCTCTAATCCCAACACTTGGGAAGCTGAGGTGGGAGGATTGCTGGGAGTCCAAGGCCAGCCTACATAGTGAGTCAGGAAAAAAAAAAAATCTTTGGGTTGAATGTCCCATATTCCTGTTGTGCTTGCTGCCCTACCAAACTTGAACCACAGTGTCCCCAAGTTTCTTCTGTTTTCCCTCTGACTGGGGATGGAATCCTAGACACACATTGAACTTCACCCCTAGCCCTTTTTTATTATTATCATTTTATTTGTCTTTTTTTTTTTGTGTGTGTGTGTGTGTGTGGTACTGGGGATTGAACTCAGGCCCTTGCACTTGCCAGGCAAGTGTTTATTCTACTGAGCTATCTCCCCGGCCCTTATTTGTCTTTTTTTGAGTCCAGATCTCACTATTCAGTTCAGGCTGGACTTGAGATCACTTTGGAACCCAGACTCACAATGATCCTCCTGCCTCAGCCTCCCCAGTGCTGGAATTACAGGTGGTGACAGGTGTTCACCACCATGCCTGGTTTTTATTTTTTAAATGACTTTTAGGACAGGGTCTATAGGGTGTACAGGGTCTCACTACGTAGATGAGACTCGTGGTGATTCTCCTGTTTTCAGAACCTCCCAAGTGCTGGGATTACAGGTGTGCACCACCATGCCCAGTCTAAACAGTCTAATCCCCATCTCAGTGCTCCCTGGGGGTGGGACTGGCACAGCATGCCAGGGATCGAACCCCAGCTGCTGTGCTCTGCCGAAGCAGGCTGTTTAGTCTGCTGAGCTATCTGGCCAGCCCTGCTTTTAATTTTTTGAGACAGGTTTTCACTAAGTTGCCCAGGCTGAGCCCAACTTGCAACCCTCCTGCCTCAGCCTCCCTCAATATAATACTGGGATGGTAGGCATGCACCCGTCTGCCTGGCTCTTTTACTTTTTTTCTTTTTTTGCAGTGCTGGAGGTTATGCCTGTTAGGCAAGTGATCCATTCCTTAGGTCTCACTGTGTGGCTCAGGCTGGACTTAAACAATGGCAATCCTCCTGTCTCAGCCTCTTAAATGCTGGGATCTTAGGTGTGTGTCACTGTACCCAGCATTCTTTTTTTTTTTTTTTTTTTTTTTGGAACTGGGGATTGAACTCAGGCCCTTGCGCTTGCCAGGGAAGCGCTTATTCTACTGAGCCATCTCCCCAGCCCCAGCCTTCTTTTTTTAAGGGACAAAGAAATGAACTGTCAGTGAAGATGTGGCGACATTAGCACGCTCTTTCTCGCCGTGGGAGGAGTGTAACATAGAGAAGCTGCTGTCAGGAGCCGATTCCTCAACAGCTTGAATGCAGAATTACCCAGCAGCCCCCTCACAGGCAAGAAGAGCCAAAGCCAGGGACACCCATGTGCATGCAGTGCGATCCACCACAGCCGAAAGGCGGAAGGAACTCCAGCGTGCGTCCCTCAGGCCAGCGGCGATGTGCCAAGCATGCCTCTGGCTCACAGCCAGCAAAAGGAGTGGAGTGGCCACTGCAAACTGAAACTGCAACCTGCTTGCATCCAACAGAATGGCCTGCAACAAGAACATAAAAAATGAACTCAGCGGACTAAAGCACCTGCTTAGGCAGAGTGTGGGGGGGGCGTCCCCTGGTGTGCTGTGCCAGCCCCACCCCCGGGTCACACTGAGAGGCAATTGAGAGTGGGTGTGGTGGTGTGCCTGTAATCCCAGCACCTGGGAGGCTGGAAACAGGAGAATCACTACGAGTCCGATCTGTGTAGTGAGCCCCTGTAGACCCTGTACTAAATACATTAAAAAAAAAAAAAAAAAAAAAAAAAACAGCCAGGAGTGGGGATGCACACCTGCAATCCCAGCACCTGAGAGGCTGAGGCAGGAGGACTGCAGCAAGTTGAGGCCAGCCTGGGCTACAAAGTGAGCTCAAAGTCAGCCTGTGCTGCATAGTGAGACCCTGTTTCAAAAACAAACAAATATAAAGAATCGATCAAGCTGGGCATGTGGACACACACCCAATTCCAATGTTCTGAGAGGCTGAGGAGCAAGAGGATCCCAAGTCCAAGCAGTCTAGACAACTTAGTGACTTCCCGAGACTCTCTCTCCTAATAAAAACTAAAAAGGAACCCAGTGTGGTGGCACATGCCTGTAATCCAGTACTCGGGAGGCTGACGCAGGAGGATCACTGAGAGTTGGAGGGGGCTACAAAGCGAGCACAAAGGGCCAGGGAGATGTCTCAGTAGAATAAGCGCTTCCCTGATAAGCGCAAAAACCTGAGTTCAATCCCCCAGTTCCGCAAAAAACAAACAAACAAACAAACAAACAAAAACCCAAAGTGAGCACAAAGCCAGCCCATGTGGTACAGAGACCCTGTCTCAAAAATAAATAAATAAATAAATAAATAAAGTAAAAATTAAAAAGGGCTGGGTGCAGCTCAGTGGGGTGCAGCTCAGGGACAAGCACACAAGGCCCTGGTTTCCATTTCCAGTGTTTTACAAAAGCTCTGGACCACCCCTCCCAGGAGCACCTGAGAGGAGTCAGCATCGGGCTGCACTCAGCCTCGCCTGCGGGCTGCAGGGCCAAGGCAGGGATGGGCAGACCCTGCGCCTGCACTGCAGCCCCTCAGTGCCCAAGTGCCGTCCCTACGAGGGGCATGGGGGTGGGGGAAGGACTCGGGCCAAGGGAAGGTGCATTCCCTGTTTTGTTGGTTTCTGTCCACGGATTAAGGAACTTGAGCATTTTAGTTTTTCTCTAATTAGCTTAGTGTCAACACCACGCTTGACCAGGGGCCCAGGGGCTCGGCTAAAGGAGGCCTGGGACCTGCCCAAGCCCTCTAGTCCAGGCATTCACCTTTTCTTTCTTTCTTTCTTTCTTTCTTTCTTTCTTTCTTTCTTTCTTTCTTTCTTTCTTTCTTCTTTTCCCTTTTTCCGATAGGATCTCACTATGTAATCTAGGCTGGCCTTGAGTTAACTATCTAGCCCATGCTGGCCAGAATATCCTGGGAATCTTCCTGCCTCAGTCTCCCAAGTGCTGGAACCACAGGCTTGGACAAGTGCCTGATTTAGGACACTTGAAAAAACAAGGCCCAGGGGCTAGAGATGTGGCGATGTGGCAATGTGGCTCAGCGGCACAGTGCTGGCTTGGCAAGCCTGAGACTTTGAGTTCAATTCCCGGTACCAACAAAAGCTAAACCAAGAAGAAACAAACAAAAACAAGACCCAAGTGGAGTCTCATGGTCATAGGGCTTAATCTCAGGAAAGGCTTCAAAGGGTGACCTGCAGCCTAGGTGGAGGGGTGTGAGGCTGTCATCCCAGCACTTAGGAAACAGAGGCAGGAAGGTTCAAGTTAGAGGTTGGTATGGGCCACATAACGAGACCATGCCTTAAACAAAACAAAACAACAACAACAAAAAAACCTAAATAAATAAATAGACAAGGGGCTGGAAAGAGAGCTCAGCAGTCTAAGCAGCTATTTGGCAAGTGCAAGGACTCAAGTTCAATCCCCAGGACCTCATGCCGTGCTGTCCCCATGCCAAGCTGGCCATCAAAACCCATCATGGTGCTTCGATCCCCACAACTCAAGCCAGCCAAACCTGCCCTGAACGCAGTGGGAGCAAAAAAAAAACCAAAAACTTGAGGGCTGGGGGGATGGTGCAGTAGAATAAGCGCTTCCCTGGCAAGCACAAGGGTCTGAGTTCAATCCCCAGTTCTACAAAAAAAAAAAAAAAAAAAAAAAAAAAAAAACCATGGTGGCACACACCTGTAATTCCAGTACTGGGGAGGCTGAGTCAGGAGGATCACTAGGAGTCCGAACTGAGTAGCAGAGACCCTGTACCAAATAAATAAACAAATACATAAATAAATAAATGATTTTTTAAAAAAATTAAAAAAAAAAAACACCAGAGGCCAGGAAGATAGCACAGTAGAATAAGTGCCTGCCTGCGAGTGCAAGGTCCAAGGTTCGATCCCCGGTACTGCAAAAAAAAAAAAAAAAAAAGAAAGAAAGAAAAGAAAATTCCATCCCATCCAGGTAACTCAGCACCTCAGTAACTTAGCAAGACTCCGTCTCAAAATGAAAAACAAAAAGGACTGGGGACAGAGCTCAGTGTCACAGACCCTAGGTTCCATCACCAGTTACTGCCCCTAAAGAAGTTTTGCTGACAGAATACCAGACAGGGAGAGGGGATGGTACAGGAGAGACAGGAAAGGCTGCCTCCTTGGCTGCAGGCCTTGGCTCAGTACTGAAGCAGGGGCAGGGTCACCCCGGGTGGGGGTGGGGTGGGAACACCGGCGGTGCCCTCTGGCCTTCCCCTCCCCCGCCTGGCTGGCCACCCTGATTGGCCCTCAGCTGTCTTCAGCCACCTGTCCCTGTCTGTTCCATCCGCCCTCCCACACCCCATCCTGTCTGCAGGGCTACGCAGAGGCTGTGGGGTAAGAGGGGCCGGGGGAGGCCTGGGTGGAGTGTGGGACCCCAGCACCTAGGGAGGGCATCTCAGAAGCCCATGGGGGTCCCCAACTCTAGGCGTGTCCACCTCCCCACACACCTGGGGCCACGCTTCCACCTCCCATGTGGGCCTAGCCCCTCCCCCAGTGCCCTGTCAGAGTCCCAGGGAACGGGTAGCCTTGCTGCCAACACTGACTGGCAGCCAGAGGCCCTGGGGACCCCGAAAGCCAAGGCTGTGGGTCTGGCTTCAAGCTCAGCCCATGGCTGCAAGGGTCCAGCTCCAGCCTCAGTTTCCACATACAAGCAGAGCAGCAAGAGAGGCAGGGACCCAGCGCAAGGAGCAGCGGGTGCCTTGGACCTCCTCTTCTGTCCCCAGCTGTCACCCAGACCAAGCTGTTTCTCCCTGCTGGAGCTCTGACCTGCTAGGCTCCTGGGGTGCAGCTGCTGCATTGTATTGTTTTGGTCCCCACCACCCCCACCCAGACCTGGGGGTTGAACCCAGGGCTTTCACATCAAGCCACCCCACTCCCAGCCCTTTTTTATTTGGAGACAGGTCTTTTTTTTCTGTATACAGCATCAAATCCAACTCAGGACCCTGCGCTTGCCAGGCAGGCGCTTGTGCCACTGAGCTCTATTCCCTACTCAAGACAGGACTTGCCAAATGTTAAAAATGCCCAGTCTGACCTCAAATGTGGGGCCCAGGAGATGGCTCAGTAGAATAAGTGCTTGCCTGGCAAGCGCAAGGGCCTGAGTTCAATCCCCAGTTCTGCCAAAAAACAAAACAAAACAAAACAAGCTGCCCTCCAACGTTCCATCTTCCTGGCTTGGCCCCCCAAAGTGCTGGGGTAACAGGGGTGGGGGGCTTTGGGGCAGGGTACTTCCAGGAACACTGGGTCAAGATGGGCTGGGTGGAAGAGACCTCAGGGAAGGGACAGACTGGGAGGGAGTCTGCCAAGGCCTTCTGGCCTTGGACACCAGATAAAAATAGTCCCTGGTCTCAGAGAATGTGAGCTGAACTGGGCCTGGGTTCTGGTTTGGGCTGTGCCTTTGACTCATTGCTGTGTGGCTTTGGGTGGGATCCAGTCCCTCTCTGACCTTCTAGAGCCCTGGCTGCCACACTCAGGAGTGCAGGGTGCAGGGATGGGGCCCCAGAGAGGTGAGCCCCTGCCCTGGGGACTGTACCAGAGCAGGTGTGGGAGTGTCAGCAACATTATACCTCATAGAAGCCTCACATTGCAGCGGGGACATAGTGCGGTGTCAAAGTCCTGGGTTCCAGCTCCAGTGTGGGGAATGTCAATGAACACAGGGCTGGGAGGAGGCCAGGGACGGGTGACTTCCTGCCCACAGTGTCGTCCCCCCCCCATGTGGCTCAAGCAGGCTCAGGATGGACAACATTGTCTCCTGTCCTCTTCCAGCCCCACTGCAGAGGGAGGGCCACTGCTCCCGTCTCCATGACAACCAGGGCCTTGGAGGAGCTGGATGGGGGCCTGGGCAGCTGCCTGGCCAGCGAGGACCTCTCTGCACTGGCACAGCCCTGCCCAGGGCAGCTACAGGAGGACAAGGCCCAAGGTACTCTGCTGCCCCTCCAGCCTGCTCTGACTTCCACTGTGCCCCCTCCTTTCTGCCTCAGGCTTTGCCCCTGAACACTGGTGCCCACACAGATGAAGTTTGAGTCCAGCAGCCTGCTAGCGTGTGCCGTGTGACTCTGGCCAAAGTCCTCTCTGGGCCAGCCTGCTTTGCCACCTGTATTGTGGCCCTTCTCTGTCCTGGCCCAGCATATCAAGGGGGTGTTGTGGGATAAACTTGGGGGCATCCCCACAGCCTTGACTGTCTCTCTGTTCCCACCAACAGTGACACCCAGGCTGAGTAGCTGGCCCCAGGTGAGTAACTGATGACCTCAGAGTTGGAGACATGCTGGCCAAGGAGGGGGCTTTGTCTCTTAGAAGACAAAAAGAAACAGCATCCTGAGCTGGTGTGCTGCCCCATGCCTGTCATCCTATCACTCTGGAAGGCTGAGGCAGGAAGATCTCAAGTTCAAGTCTATGTGACTCAACAAGACCCCGGCTCAAAATAAAAAACTAAAACGGGGTCGGGGTTGTAGCTCAGGGCAAAGGCCCTGGGTTCCATCCCCAGTATTCAAAAAAAAAAAAAAAAAAAAAAAAAAATCTGCTCTCACCCACAGGGCTCTCAGGAGCCCCTGGCAGCTGGTGGTGTGGACGCCAGGCCCAAAAAGATGGAGAAGGAGCCTGTGACCAGGCCGACCCTAAGCCCGGGAAAGGAGAAGTTGAAATCTGGAGCGAGTGGGTTTGCAGAAGGTTTGGGTGAAGTGGGCGTGGCATGGCGGGGTGGGGTGGGGGTGGGGGAGGCCGCAGGCCGGACTGAATCCTCCGTGGCGGACGCTAGGGGACAGCAGGGACGAGGGCCCCCACTAAGCTGCGTGGCTCTGGCTCACCAGCTGCTACAGGGCCCCTTGGCACCTGACCTCTCACCTGTCCTCCGCAGCTCCCCGGAGCGCCCCGGCCCGCAAGAAGGCGCAGGCCGCGCCCCCCACTCAGCCGCCCCCACCGCCCCCAGCCCTGAGCGAGGATCTGCCCTGGGGGGACGTGACGCTCAACAAGTGCCTCGTCCTGGCCTCGCTGGTGGCACTGCTGGGCTCTGCCTTCCAGCTGTGTCGCGGTGAGCCCTGGTCTCCCAGCGTGGGGCGGGGCTGGGCTGGGGTCGCTAGAGCGCCCGCTCCCAGGAAGGGGCGGTGCAAAGAGGGCAGAGTCTCCGCGCCTCCTCTGTTTGGGGTGGGTCTCTTTTTCTTTTTGTTTCTTCGCGGTACTGGGGATGGAATCTTGGCCCTTTATACTGAGCTCTATGCCCAGGCATTTAATGTAATTTGTTTTTAATTTTGAAAAAATAAAAAAAATAAATTTTGAGACAGGGTCTTGCTAAGATGCCAAATTGCCTGGACTGGGCTCGAATTTGCAGTCCTCCTGCCTCAGCCTCCCAAAGCTCTAAGATGACAGGCGTGCACCACCGCGCCCGGCTTAAAGAATGAGTTTTGGACTGTAGCTCCTAGGCCAGGCTTGCGACCCTGTCCCTCGCTTGAGACTGGCGTGTCTCCCTCACCTCTGTGAACCTCGCCAGGGGTCATCACATCCCCTTCCTGAAACAGTGGAGTGCGCCTCGTGGTCACTCCTGAGCTCCCCCTAGCGGACGCGCTTTGCTGTCTCCCCGAGACGGTCGCGCACGGGTCCCTTCCTCTTCCGGCTGGACCTTCTGCGCCCCGCTGCCCCGCATATCCTAGGGACAGCTTCCCAGTACCTTGTGCGTGCTTTAGGGGTGGGTTCTAATGTCACCTTCCCAGGTCTGAGACACTCCTACCCTGCCTGCCGCTGTCAGGAGGCGGCCTGCAGACCTTGGAAAAAAATGATCACTGAAAAAAAAAAAATCACTCCATTAAAAATAATCCCTTTCTTTCCTTCTTTTTTGCTTTGGTACAGACTCGTAGTGATCCTCCTGTCTCAGCCTCCCAAGTGCTGGGATTATAGGCACAGGCCTTAATTTCAGCACTGGAGAGGCTGAGACAGGACCTTTTTGAGTTCCAGTGTAGCCTGAGCTACATAGTTTAAGACCAGCTTAAACTACACATTGAAACCCTGTCTCAAAACAAGCACATAAGGGGCCTGCCTTAAGGTTGCTGTGGTTCGATCTCCACAACTCCAGCCAGCCAAACCTGCCCTGAAGGCATTGGGATCAAAACAAGCACATAGATACAAATAAGGAAACAATAAATAAAAGGGGAGGTTGGGCAAGGCGGGCACCCATACTCCGGAGTCTTGGCGGCTCAGAAGCAGCCAGGGCAGCCTCTTGGTGCCCAGGGGACTCTCGAGGCCCAGATACAGGTGCTGGGAGGAGGGATGGAGGGTTGGTACGGCACCCCAGGCTGATGCACCTTCATGCCATTCCAGACGCTGTGACTGGGGAGGAAGCTGCCCCTGCCCCTTGGGTCCCACCGATCTCACCCCAGAAAGACCGGGTGTCGCCCATGGTAAGTGCTTCCTTCTAGTGATTGGGGTGTGGGGGCAGGTGGCGATGCCCCTCCTGGGGAGTGGGAGGGTCGGTGAGAGAGACAGGCTTGGGGCCAGGAGATCACACTGTGCGTGTTGCAGCCTAAACCTGCGGCCTGGACGCCCCCATCGAAACCACCCGTGTCCCAGGTGGAGCCACCTGCACCTCCGGTGGCGGCAGGAGACAAGCCCGAGGTTCCCAGGAGCCCGGAGGCAGCAGAGAAGGTGCAGAGAGAGCCTGAAGAGGCCACCGGAGAGGCTCCTGGGGAAGAGCGCGCAAGCCTCGCCGAGCAAAGACCCAAAGAGAAGCCCAGGAAGGAGAAGCCGTGGAGGGAGAGGCCGCGGAAAGCAGAGAAGCCATGGAAAGAGAAACCGCGCAAAGAGGAAAGGCCGCGGAAGGACAGGCCACGGAGGGAGAAGCCTCAGGCTGCCAGGGAGCTCCGCGAAGCTCTGCCCCGACGCTGGGAGACGCGCAGAGGCCACCGGCTGTGGGCACGGAACTCCAGGGACCCGGTGCACCGGAAAGGGCAGGCCTGGGCCTCACCGCGGCGCCCTGAAGAGGACAGGCCCCGAGGGGGACAGAAGCACCGTCAAGGCAGAGGGCGGGACTGAGCGACCGGCGCTGTTCGCGAATCCCGGACCCCAGCTCCAGCAAAATAAAGTGAGTGCTGTCTCTGGCTCCCTTGTGCCTCGACCCCAGAGCTGGGAGGATGGGGTGGGGAGGTGCCGGCGGGGCAGGGGGCAGGGGGCAGGGAGCACCCACGGGACTGAGCCGGGCCTTGCCCTCACGAACAGAAGGCATCCACGCACGTCACCCTGCTAGGTGCTCCTGGCCTTTATTGGGACAATGCCTGGGTCTGAATAAATACTAGGAGGGCTCCTTGGGCTGGGGAAGGTCACCGGCAGCCACACTCGGTGGCCACCATGTTGGGCACGTGGTGCGCACTGATGCGTTCCCCAGACAGGCTGATGAGGAGCTTGGCCGCGTAGGCGGTGGGCACACAGCAGGGCGCGCGCGCCAGGACTGCCCCGCGGGCCTGCATCTTCAATAGCAGCACCACGTGGTTGCCATAGTGCGGGTTGCGGTCGGATTGTGGCCAGCCGCACGCGCCCTGGCAGTTGTTGGCCTGGTAGGTCTCGGGGATAAGCACGGAGTGCTCAGCGCGCAGGTCCACGCTGAGCTCGCGCAGTGCGCACGGCCCCTCAGCCGAGGCACTGCGCTGTGCCCGAGCGGTCCCGCGCCCGTCCCGCCCACGCCACTCCCTGCGCAGGCTCTGCAGCGCCTTGAGAAGCAACAGGGAGCGAAGTGGGTCCCCTGGCGGGCTGCTAGGGTCTCTTGGGTTACTGGGGCACAGCGCTAGCAGACGTGCAAGCAGCTGGGGCACCGCAGGAGGTAGCCCCGGGAGGCCACGTAATTCAGCGGCTGCGGCCTGCAGCTCGACAGCCACGCGGTGCGCCAAGCCTGTGGTCCAGGGCGCAGAGGTGGGGTCCTGCAGCGGCATCCCGTGCCCTGCACTGGCTGCGGCGGGTGGCGTCAGTAGCAGGAAAGGCTCGTCAACGTCTAGTAAACGTTCCAGCGCCGCAGGGTCAGACAGGTTGACCAGGCCCTGCGGGAAACTGGCCAGCGCGCCCGGATCCAGGGCCAGGCGCGTTGGAGAATCCGGGGCAGGTGGCCCCCGCAATGCGAGCACCAGGCGCGTGAGTGTCTCCAGGAAGGGATCCCGGCTGGGCGGCAGTGCCTCGGGCTCCAGGGAAGGCCTGGAACCCGTAGTGGAAACCAGGTGTCATGAGGGCTTACGGTTGTCCTGCCTCCTGCCTCCACCCCATCCCCCTTGCCCACTGTTCTGGGCCTGTGCACACCTGGGCAGTGGGAAGGGCACGGTGTCCAGCTGGCCACGCACGGGCAGGGGTGCAGGTTTGGATGGTGGCAGGAGGAGGAGGGCAGGGGTCATCTGCGTGAAGAAGTGGGAATTGGGCCCAAACAGCAGGGTCTGCAGCTGGCTGGTGCTCAGGGTGACACCTGCACCAAGAAAGGAGTGCCTGCTGGCTCCGGGCTCAGGGTCTCAGGGGCCCAGGGTAGCTGCCTGCTTCATGGTTTCTCCTCCCCCATCCCCAGAGTCCCTGGCCTACCGTCTCGAGGCTGTAAGGTCAGGGCAAGCCCTGCACTGAGCCAGGCCCTCTCCGGGTGGTCCACAACCAGTACCAGATAGCGGGTGTCTGGGGTGCGGCAGAGGCTCTGCAGAGATGGAAGTCCAGCCCAGCCTGGTGGGAACACTGCCCGCCCAGCCTGGCTTTGCACACAACCTTTCCTCCCAGGCACAGCTCTCCATGTGACCCTCAGAGCCCCTTCCCATTCAGCCCCAGGGCACCGCGCAGCTCTTTCCAGGTACCTGGGCAGCTGTTAGCCCAGCCCCAGTGACAGTGACTTCAGGGCCAGGCCCAGGGTACAGCACCATCACTGCCTGCTCTGGGGGGCTGGCTGCTCCGGGTGGGGGTTCTTGGAACCTCAGCGAGGGTGTCGAACTCCACATCACTGCAGCCAGGAAAGGGGGGTCTGCTGACCACTGAGGCTGGGCTGCCCCCAGAGAGCCCCTTCCCAGCTGGACAGAGAACCTAATCAGGCCAGAGAGCTCCAAGGGGACTCTGCTCCCAGAGGTTGTTCTCCCTGCTGCCTTCAGTGGGGTGGGTAGCAAACACGCCCAAAGGATCCTTGAGTTTGTGGGTCTTCTAGCCTTGACTTGGGGAGGCCCCTTCCCTGCTGCTTCCTCCTGGGTCAGGAGGGGTCCTTCTGGGAACCCTCACCTGATCCCCAACTTGCAGGCAGGACAGAGATGGAAAGATAGCACCCAATCTTAGAACGGGTCTGCCACCCTTGAACTCCAGAGGTACTGTGCTCCCCAGGACCCCCCATGTACCTTCCACCAGGCGCAGGACCAGCAGTTGGTGCCTCTCAGGCTCCTGCAGCCAAGCGCCCAGGCGCTGCAGAGCCGCCAGAGCTGCCTGTGTGGGGCCAGGGCTGCAGATGCCAAAGGTGGCCAGGTCGTGGGGTCCCCAAAGGGTGTCCTGTACAGCCTCCAGGAAGGCCTGCTCGTAGCTACTCAGGCCCCCCACCACCTGCAGGGGACCCCTACTCCTGTTGCTGGAACTGCTCAATGTCACCAGGCACAAGGGTCTTCTCAGGCTGCCAGGTGGCCAGACCCAGTCTTCTGGAAAGATGAGGCCCCCAGTGCCAGCAGCTGGCTCTTCTCCAGTTGTCTTGGCGCCCAACACAGTCCCCAGCACCAGCAGCATCAGAAGTGGCCCCTGCATGATGGATGTGCAGGGGGCTTGGGGTCCTGACTCTGGCTTTTATGTCCAGGTTGGAATGTTTGGGGGAAGGAGGCCCCTATCTACTCTGGAGGTGTCCTTGGGGACAAGGCCCAGTGCCCCACGAGGGGCCTGGGCAGGTGGGAGGTGGCCTTCTCAAAAGGCTTTCTGTTTCAGCAGGGCCACATATCTTTGCTCTCACTAGATAGAGCCCAGCCTGACTGTACTGGTCACAAAACTGTCCTTGAGGGGCTGTCCCCTGGGATGGTAAACAGCCCTGGAGGGCAGAAGCACAGGCCCCTAGGCCTACAAAGGATCAGTAGCCTTGGGGAACAGTAGCAGGCCTCAAATTGCTGGAATCCCCCAGAACCCTCACCCACTTTTTTAGAGACAGGGTCTTGCCCTGTAGTTCAGGTAGACCTTGGACTACACAGCTGTGTGTGACACAAAGTCCTGATGATCATTCTGCCTCAGCCTCCCGAGTGGGGTTAAAGGCCTGTACCACATCTCATGTCCTTACCCAGTTTGGGGGCCCCCAGTAAGGTACCACAGCTGGCCAGCCCAGGAGCAGGGACCTCACTCTTTCCCCCGCCCCCTCCTGCCCAGTAGGCAGGGTGCCTGCAGCCACCAAGCGCAGCCCTCAGGTTCTGCCACTGGGCAAGCCCCCACCCTCCAGCCAGCAGAGCAACCCACGAGACACGGGGGAGGCTGTTTAATAGGCTCTGGGGCCAGTACAAAAGCTGAGGTCTTCTCTCTGGGAAAATACAGAACACAGCCAGACACAGAACAGGGAGGGGCAGCTCCTCAGTTGGTTGGGGGAGGGGGAGGAATGTTGCCTGGGCCCTCGGAGGGGAGCGGAGGCCTCAGCATTGGAGGCATGGGAGTGGGGTGCACCCCGGGGTTGGAAGGGTGAACTCCAGGAGGCTGGGGGTGCACTCCAGGAGCTGCAGGATGAACCCCAGGAGGTTGGGGGTGGACCCCTGGAGCCTGCGGGTGAATCCCAGGGGCAGGGGACTGCACCCCAGGGGCCTGGGAGTGTACTGCAGGAGCAGGTGGGTGCACTCCTGGGGCCTGTGGATGGACCCCAGCTGTTGGGGGAGGATGTACCCCTGGAGCTGGTGGGTGAACCCCAGGGGCCTGAGGATGGACTCCAGGAGCTGGAGGGTGAACTCCTGGGGCTGGGGGATGGACCCCTGATGTGGGGGGATGGACCACTGGTGCTGGAGGGTGGACCCCTGGAGCTGGGGGGTGTTCCCCAGATGTGGGAGGATGGACCACTGGTGCTGGGGGGTGGACCCCAGGAGCTGGAGGAGGCAGCTGGGGAGGCCCAGGGGGGCCAGAGGGTGCAGGCCCAGTGGGGGGCATAGGGGGCAGTGGCAGGCCTCCTGGTGGAGGCGGGGGCAGAGACTCAGGCAGCGGTGGCCTAGGGGGCAGCCCATTCATCAGCGGGGGTGGGGGTCGCTTCACCCCAGGGGGGCCTGCTGGGAGGCTAGGTGGAGCAGGGGGCTTCTCCATCTTGAAGTGGAACTGGAGGAAGAACTGCTTGGTCTCCCGGTTCCAGTGGGTCCAGAACTTGCCTTCGGCCTTATCAATCTCTCTGCTAGGTACCTATTGGGTGGGTGGGTGGGGCTGTGTGACTAGGCTCCTGGTCCCCACCGCCTTCAGGTCCACAGGGGCCAACACTGGAGGGCTAGAGTTCAGCTGGGAGCTCAGGGAGGTGGAGCATCTGCTCCCCACACTGGGCCCTTCCAGAGGAGCTCGGGAACCCCATATTTATGGAGCTGGGGTAGAATCCAGGGCCTCTTGCACTCACTACTGCACCATACCGCCTGCCCTTTTTTAAAAAAAATTATTTACGTGTGTGTGGCTAGCTCAGCCCACCAGGGGGCAGAGCTGGCTGGCATGTGGTGCTGGGGGGTTGAACCGCGGTCCCTGTGCTTTGCTAAGCTTGTTCTAAGTAGGTGCTTTAGACCACTGAGCCATCTCACCAGCCCCTGCCTGCCCTTTTTTCTTTTTTTTATTATTTATTTATTTATTTATTTATTTAGTGTGTGGCCAGCTCAGCCCACCAGGGGGCGGGGCTGGCTGGCATGTGGTGCTGGGGGATTGAACCGCGGTCCCTGTGCTTTGCTTAGTTTAGCTTGTTCTAAGTGGGTGCTTTAGACCACTGAGCCATTTCACCAGCCCCCTGCCCTTTTCTTAAGATTTTATTAACTCTGGTTTTTTTCAGGCAAGGTGGCGTCTGGCTGGCCCTGAACTCTTGGTGCTCCTGCTGAGGGGCTGTCACTTGGCCTCCTCACAAGGCCCATCCTGTGGGTTGTGCACTGAGGGCACAACTGACCGGGTCTAGCCCTAGCCCTCAGCAGGACCCGGAGGCAGCAGCCGCCGCCACCCGGCGCACGCAGACCCTCCTCACTCCCCCTCAGTCAGCAGGCGCAGTGGCCACGTCACCTTGAAGGCGATGGTCTCGTAGGGCTCCGCAGCCATCAGCAGGTACTGCCAGCGCCGGTCCGGGGGCTCGATCCTCTGCTCGTAGGCAGACATGAAGCGGTGGCGGGGCATAATGCCCTCGGCGATCTCAGGGTAGTCAATCTGGGGGGACAGAGGCACTCAAGGGGTGCCTTGGACTTCCCTGTATACCCAAGACCCGGGCCCCCATCTCACCTGGAATAGGAGGCTCTGCTGGCCCATCTCGGTGTCCCTCTGCTTGGTCACTACAACACATACTGAGGGTCAGGTGCAGGGACCCTGCATATTCTAAATGTCACCCACAGGACAGGAGAATGGATGTGGGGAGGTCTCTAGGCCAGAGAGGAGGGCACCGGTGGCCCAATGGATGCTGAAGTGGGGGTGGCAGGTGGGCAAAAGGGGGTGGGTCTCACTGTACAGGAAAGGGGCTTCCAGGAAAGGGAATGCGACCACCCCAGTGACACTGATAGGGGATGAAGGTGAAGGAGACTTTTAACTCCAAGGCCAGAGAACAGTGGCTGTGTGTGGCCCAGCAGGGGCATCTGTGTGAGAACGGCAGCTGCGAGCAGATGTACACATGCACCTTTGTAGCCAGGGCGGCCGATCTTCACAAACTTCTTCACTTCCACCTTGACCTTCTCAGGTGCTGGCTGGGCAGGGGCCTCCTTGGCCTCCTTGGCTGCTCGCCGGGCTCTGTGGGGATAGATGTGGCACTGTGGCCTCTCCCATGGGACACCAAGGCCACAGGCCCAGGTGCCAGAGCCCAGCCTAACCTTGGAGCTAATCTGGGAGGTGAGGGATGAGGGCAGGGTTGGAAGGAAGTGGAACAAGGACAGTAGACTCAAGGCCCCCCTTAAGCACCCTTCAGTCACAGCCCAGGCTGGCTCCCCGCTGCTGCTGAACTGGTGTGGGGGGGGGTGCCCACCCTGAATGTCAGCAGGATAGGTGGGTGGCTGTGGGCACCTCATGGGAGGCAAAACACTTACAGGTTGGTCTGGTGTTTCTTCCCCTGGGTGTGTGCCAGGTAACTCCCCTGCGGAGGGAAAGAAGTGTCACCAGGGCCCAGAGGGCACCCTGAGGCCCCTCCCCATAGTGCAGGATGGGACAATCATGGCCTGTTTGTCCACACTCGGACTGGAGGGGCTGGGCCAGGGCAGCACCTGGCCTAGGATGATGCAGCAAGCTGTAGGGTTCTGCATGTGAGGGACAGGGTGCACCTATGAAAAGCTGCAGACCAGGAGGCGTGGAATATGGGGGACCTGCTGGGGACAGCTGTATGGCCACCTCTGGTAACACTGCTGACAAACACACCCTCTGAGGCACGCCTGGCATGATGCTTAAGCGTCCTGCAGCGCCCAGGCCACTCCACAGAGCACAAACTGTACCTAGTGTGCGCAGTGCCCAAGGGCCAGCACACAGGACAATGGCTCAGTGCAGGCAGTGTAAGCAAAGGGGACACTTGCCGGGGCCAACTAGGCCAATACATGAGGTGACAGCGCCAACGACAGTCATAGAAGAATGTCTGCTGGGGAGAACTCTGGATGCTGAGGTTTGGGGACACAGGTGGGCACCAAGGGAACTCAGCCTGCAGCTGCATCCCTCAATGTCTTTCATGGAAAGACACCAGGAAGCAAACACGCTGCCAGTTCTGAAGAGGGTCGGGGCAGACCCGCTCTGTCATCTGAGCAATAATGAAAGGGCGAGAGGCCGGGGGCAGAGCTGGGTACAGCAGTGTCAGCGCCAGAGCAGAGCCCCAACACACCTCGTTGTTGTGAAGCGTTAGACAGAGCTTGCACTCATAGGACCCCAGATGGTTTTTCATGAAATACGGATCCTGGAGGAGAAAATTGAATGTCATCAGAGTAAAACCACTGCCCTATGTCAGGGCTCAGGGAAAGCCATTCGAGGGCCACCCAAGGTGGGGGTACAGTCTGGTGACTGCCACAGCCTCACAGCACCCACCTTATTGATGTCAATGGTCTCCAGTGCCAGCTGCCGGAGGCGCTCCCTGCGGTCACGGTTGCTCTCGGAGGAGGAGGCCACGCCCCCGCTGCCTGTCTTGCCTCCTGGGCGGTGCTGGAAGTCCATGATGTAGGCCTGCAGGTGTCACAGGGCAGCCAAGGAAGACACTGTAGAGGCGAAGGGAAGGGGCAGTGCTGGGGGTCATGGACTCTGCCCACCACTGGACACACTTGGCCAGGCAGCAACAAGGATGCTGAGCTGGCTTTAGGGACTCCTCCTGGTGACTGTGGTGCCTGGTGACCATGGTGGAGGAAGGGCCTCCAACCCATGGAGCAGAGGCTGGGGGCGGAAATGGCAGCAGGGTGCATGGCAGAGGCCCCTCCAGGGAGGACCAGGCCAGGCTTAAGCCTCACCACCTCCAGGAAGTCTTCCCAGGCTGACTGAGCCCCTATTCAGTCCTTCCTGAGTTTCCTTTCTGGCTACATCCACTATTCACAAACTAAATCCATTTCTGGGGCTTGCTCAAGCTAGCCAGAGGCCTAGAAGCTGTCTAGCTCTGGACCCTGACGCCTACACACAGGAAGATCTCAGCAGCTGTAGCCAAGGCAGAGGGTTTTTTTTTTTTTTTTTTTTTTTTTTGCAGAATTGGGGATAGAACTCAGGCCCCTGCTGAGCCATCTCCCCGGCCCCCAAGGCAGAGTTCTGGGAGCCTCCACCACACCGCTGCAGACCACCCTGGGACTATCAGGCGCAGTTAAACCTACCCTCCAGGCGGCTTCTCTGATCGCCCAACACTATCCCTGAACTCCTCGCCCTCTGATCAGGCCCCTTGCTTTAAACCCAGGAGAGCTCAGAGACAGCCCAGGAAATGAGGGAGCTACACTCCCTGTCCTTGCACAGTTGTGAAGAAAACATCTCAGGGAGGGAAGAACAAGTGAAGAGCAGACGGGAAAAGGAAAGGGACCAAAAATTAGAAAGTTTTTTTTTTTTGTTCAGAACCGGGGATTGAACTCAGGCCCTTGCACTTGCCAGGGAAGTGCATATTCCACCGAGCCATCTCTCTGGCCCCTTAGAAAGTTTTTTTTGAAGGCAGGGAAGGGGAATGGGGGGGAAAAAAAAATCAATCATGTACAGGTATAAACTCCCTAAGATGAATGTCAATCACTATGTATAGCTAATGTGCCAATAAAAAAGTAAAACAAATCAAATCTCCGTTGCCCTTCCCAAACCTACAGTATCAATTTATACAGCAGAAAGGGCTTTGCAAATGGCTGGGTGGGGGCTGTTTTTTCATTTTTTTTGGGGGGGGGGGTCTCAGGAATTGGATTCAGGACCTTGTGCTTGCCAGGCATGTGCTGTGCCACCGAGCTGAATCCTCAGCCCCATGTTGTTTTTCTGGCAAAAGTTCTTGCTACATAGCCCAGGCTGGCCTCAAACTCAGGGATTTTCCTGCCTCAGACACCTGAGTGCTAGAATTACAGGTGGGTGCCACCATGCCCACAGGACTTTGCAAATGGGATCACAGAGCTTAACAGGGTGGATCACCCTGGATCAGCCCAGGCTCTGTGTCATCACAGACTCAGAATCTGAGTCACAGACACACTGACCGGAAGATGCTGTATGGCTGGTTCCAAGGACGGACAAAGGTGCCAAAAGCTGAGGAGACTGTGCCTTTAGGAGATGCCAAACAGAGCAGGACAGACACTGCTATGGAGCCTCTAGGAAGAATCGGCCCATTTACATGCAGCCAAAATGCTACCCATAGGGGTGCACAGGCCGCCTACACCCAGCCACGAGGGAGGGCAGCAGCTCCAGCATTCCAGTGACTGCCCTTCAATGCTGGAAAGCAGTCACTCCAAGCAGGGCTGGAGGGTGGGAAATCAATGTTTAAATCTGGGGAAAATACAACAGACAAGTACAGGAGATGTTAAACAGATTTAGAGAAAGAGGAAAAAAAAAATACCAAAGACACAAATACAACTGATCACAAACATGACGGCTGGTACAGTGGCACACACCTGTAGTGCCAGCACTCAGGAGGATTTCCTGAGATCAAGGCCAGTCCAAGCTACCCAAGGAGCTTGAGGCCACCTTGAACTACACAGAGACTGTCTCTAGAGAGAGAAGTGAAAGGATAAAAGAGAAGCAGTCTAATTAAATACATTATTTGTGTCACCACTGACCAAATACTTTGAACCTTAGAAAACATAATGGAGAATGTGGTGGACTTGGAGGGAGGGTGAGCAGGTGGGAGACAGGAGGCTTCATCCACCATAATAGGAAGTCAGCTGATGACATCTGAAAACGAATGCACCTAGAAATAGAAATTGTAAGCCTGGCATGGTGGTGTACACTTGGCATCCTAGGCAAATCTGAGACCAGCCTGGGCAACTTCGTGAGACCTTGTCTCAAAACAGAAAGTGTTGAAGCTGTAGCTCAGTGTAAAGGTCCTGGGTTCAATTCCCAGTACCACCACAAAAAAGGTTATGTATAACCAGAGTTTGCAAAGTGAAGACCAGTAGAACACTTTAAGAATTGAGGAGATGCCCTCTGGGGTCAGGACCTGTGTCTCGGATGAACAGTTTTTTTGGCAAAGGGGGGACCAACATCTCCAGTTCTTTTTTCCTTTTGAGACCGGGTCTCGCTATGCTGGTCAGGCTGACCTAGAGCTCCCTTGATAGCCCAGGCTAGTCTCGAACTCGAAACAATCTTCCTGCCTCAACTACTCAAGCGCTGGGATTACAGGCGTGCATCACCACGCCCCGTGTCCTTTAACTTTTTTTTTATTTTTGAGGCAGGGTCTCACTAATTTGCTGAAGCTGGGCTCGAACTCGCAGTCGTCCTGCTTCAGACTCTGAGAAAGCCACCAGAGGCCCCCCTGGCTGTTCCATTCTGCGATGCCCGGCACACGCTTACAAAATCGGTCGCCTTCGGGGCGGGGCGGATGCTGGCGCTTCCCAGTCACAGCTAAAGGAGACGCTCACTGAGGTTAACTGACCCGCCAAGACCCAAAGCGAGACCAGTAGCACAGTCTTCAAAGGAGGCCTGGAGAACAAAGCAGCCGGGACCCTCACGCGCCGTCTTGGCGTTCCGGGGCGCGCCGCCCGCCCGCGAGACCCGCCACATGCGCCTCGATCTCACGCCCGCCCTGCTCCAGTAAGCCCCGGGTCGCAGCACCCGTTCAGCCCGCGCCATTTCTCACCTAGGCCGGAGGCCGCGCAGCCTAAAGACAACCGCCAAAACTTCGTTGTGCGCACGCGCACTAAGAGCTAAAGAACTACTTCCGGGAGCAATTTAGAGGAGTCTCCCGTGTGCGCATGCCCAGCCCGCCCTCTAAACCGAATGGACAATTGGGAGGCGAAAGGGAAGGGAATAGGGTTGGAAGTGCCCGCCTGCCTCTGAGGTGCGCGTGCGCACGATACTCTCCGCGAAATCTCGGTGAATTGCAGTTCGCGCGGGACTGGCTGTGGCAAGAGGGTAGGCTGAGAGACTCTAAATAAAAGTTGTTGCTCCCTCAGCTGCGCTTGTTTATACGGGGAAAGGGCCAGGAAACTTGAGGCCGGGCAGAAACAACCAAAGAGAGGAGGTCCATGCTGTGAATCTGTCCCCACTCCAACAAATTCAGAGTTTTTCATGGTTATATAAAGACCGATTACCGCACTGACCTACGCTGCCGCTGTACGCTCGCGCCACCCAGCGGTAACATTTGGGACCGGCCGACCCGCAATGCGCAAGCGCAATAGCGCCGGCGGTGCTTCCGGATTGGTGCCCAGATACCTTTGTGGCGGGGGCCGCGGGGGAAGGGGACGGTGGCCGGGCTGGAGGGCGCGGCGGCTCATTCCGCGTTTTCTTTCCCGCATCCCCGCAGCCGCTACTATGCGGTACAACGAGAAGGAACTGCGGGCCCTGTCCCAGCAGCCGGCCGAGATGGCGGCCGAGTTGAGCATGCGAGGACCCAAGAAAGGCAGCGGTGAGCGGTTGCGGACCGGGGATTGGGTCAGGACGGTGTGTGTTTGGGGGGTGTCCCCGGCTGCTCTGAGCCCCGCCCTGTGCCCGCAGTGGCCAAGCGGCGGCTGGTGAAGCTGGTGGTCAACTTCCTGTTCTACTTCCGCACCGACGAGGCAGAGGTAGGGGCGTGGGGGCCGCGGGGGACCCGCGCGGGCAGGCGGCCAGCACTCACGGCCGTGTCTCGCGCAGCCCCTCGGAGCCCTGCTTCTGGAGCGCTGCAGAGTCGCGCAGGAAGAGCCCGGCGGCTTCTCCATCAGTGAGTGGCTCCCACCGTCCCCTCCCTGGCCAGGCTGCTCCCGCCCGGGACAAAGAACCCCTTTGATGGCCCTCGGGAGGCCCAAGGTCGGGTCCTGGCCGCCTGCCCCGCGCACCTGCCAAGCCCGCCCCGGCTGAGCTCCTGCCCACGCCTCCCTCCTCCATGCTGCGCGGGCCCACGACCAGCCCCTCCCAGCTGCCGCCCCCAAATGGCACCAGGACCTTCTCTTTTTGGTTGTTTCTTCCTTCCCTGTTTGTTGGCCAAATGCTGGATACCCGGGAGGGATGGACCTGCCGGCCACTTTTAGGAGATTCAGGTCTGCGTGGGCAGGTGGACCCTCTCTGTCTCTTGGGGCTGTCATTACAGTGCCACAGATGATGACTTATATACCAAGAGCAGTCTGTACAGACCTGTGGACAGCGGTCTGAGACCCAGAAGGGGTTGGTTCCTTCTTAGGCTGTGTACACTGGTCCCAGGCTTGCCCCAGACGTTTTGGGGCTCTTGGAGGTTTATCTCACAGCGTTTTGTCTTTTTTTAAAAAAATGTATTTGGTACAGGGTCTCACTACGCAGCTTGGACTTGCAGTGACCCTCCTGTTTTCAGCCTCCCCAGCGCTGGGATTACAGACATGGGCCACCACGCCCATCACTGCCCAGTGTGTTCAGGGACAGGGCCTGCGCCATGCTGGGGATCGAACCCCTGTCCCTGTACTTGCCTAAAGCAGGCACTTTAGACCGCTGAGCTGTCTTGCCGGTCTTAGATTTATTTATTTATCTATCTATCTATCTATCTATCTATCTATCTATCTATCTATTTTGGTACCGGAGATTGAACTCAGACCCTGCGCTTGCCAGGCAAATGCTTATTCTACTGTGCATTTTGTCTTTATTAAGACAGCAGTTATGGATTTAGGTCCCTCAGGCCCCAATACTGGGGACTGTAGTCAGAACTTTCCTAAAGACCATGTTCCAAACAGGGTGAAATTCACAGGTTGCAGGGGGAAGCAAGGTCTTGAACCTGTGTCTGGGGAGGGGCGGAGATACAGTTCAGCTCAGGACAAAATTCGGTGAAACCTTGGTGCAGCCAGAAGGGGGCAGTGTGGGGCTCTGGTAAGAAGCTGCTCAGGCCCCTGCAGGGCAAGGTGTGGAGCAAGTGGAGACCAACCGGAGGCAGCTCCATCCCTTGTTCCCTTTGCAGGCTTCATCGAGGACCCAGAAAGGAAGTATTACTTTGAGTGCTGCACCCAGGAGCAGTGTCAGGAGTGGATGGAGGCTCTGCGTCGGGCTAGGTGGGGCTTGGGGACAGATGGGATGCACTGGGCATTGCAGCCATGATGGGTTGGCATTTGAAATCTGACCAGGCAGGTGTTCTGCTTTCTCAGCTACGAGTACATGCGGAGAAGCCTCATCTTCTACAGGAATGAGATCCAGAAGATGACAGGCAAGGTGTGCACAGGTTGGAGGTGACAGGGTTGTGCTCCTGGCCCATGGCTCACGGCCACCCCACCCTGTCCCCCTGCGTAGGATCCCCTGGAGCAGTACGGCATATCTGAGGAGGCCAGGTTCCAGCTGAGCAACTTGCCAAGGGACGGGCGGGCAGCTTTCGTCGGTCCCTGGCTGGATGAACTAGATTAACTCCCTGCCAGACCCTGCCCTGGGTTCCCTGGCCACACCTGCGCCTGCCATGGGGGTATTTGGGCTCAAAGCCTGAGGCTGGGCAGGGGCTGCATTTGTGTAGAAACCCAGTAAGTACCCCATCCCTGTGCCTTGAGACCCACCAAAGGGTTCTGGCATCTGGGTGTCATGGTCTGCTGCTATGCCGAGTGCCCGTGCCCAGAGGGCTGGGTGTGTACCCGGTTGGCAAGGCCTTCCAGTCCTGCACCAGCTGAATGTATGAAGCTAAAGGGAAGCTGTGAATGGTAAGGGTCTCCCCCTGCCAGCTGTGAACTCCACTTCTGCTGATGGGAGATGGAGTGGTCCTGGCTCTGGGTCACTGCACTCACTGTTTTCAATAAAGGTACCTCTTTTCCAAACTGGTGGCAAAGTGGATGGAAAAGATGGGGGCCCTGGCAGCTAGAGCCTCTCCCTCAGGACAGTGGTCCCCAGCAGGGCAGAATGGAGGGGAATCTTGGTGACCCAGGGCCCTAGATCAGCTGGCTTTGAGAAGCTGGGGTAGGAGTGTTATTTGCCTTGCCACAAAGCAGCTGCTGGGGGTTCCCTCTGGCTGGGGACGAGACTCCCCACTCTTGAGTACACACCTCACTGTGTTGTGTTGCTAGGAAAAAAAGGCTGCTGAGACCAGGTCCAAGTGAAAACTGCTTTTATTACAGCGCCTAGGGGTGGAAACAGTGCAGTGGGCGCTCTGGGGTGGGGGTACAGAGATCATTACAGACACAAAGCAAAGCCTATGAGGGGTGGGGAGGGAGGATGTGAGGCAAGTTGTGGATGGACCATTTCACCAAGAGGCAGGGAGCAGGGCCATGTGTTCCGCGGGTGGATAAATACGGGTAAGTCTTAAATAAGTTGCCATTCATGGGGCTCACAAAGGATGGGAAGCCTAGTTCCTGGAGACCATTGGGTCAGCAAGATCCCAAGAGGGTGGGTTGTCCGGTCCTTAATGTTTCCTGACCAATTCCTGAGCAAGAGCTGCATAGCAGCCTCCCAGGAGTTGTCCCAGGGCTAGGGCAGCACCGGTTCCCCAAGCTGGGGTAGCCCAGGACAGTGGAACTACTGCCAGCACCAAATCAGGATGGCCTTGCAACACTGCCCTGCCCACCTCGATGCGGCTCAGCAGGTCTGGGTGAGAACCAGTGTAGCCCAGGCCCAGGATGTGAAGGGGAGGCGCTGCACATGGTTAGCTTACTGTAGGGGCATGCATCTGTCCCATGGGCTCAAGAGGGGACTTGCACCCATGCTAGATGTGCCAAAAGCCAGCAGTGGCTACACTGTGGGTGCGTGCCCCTACGTGTACTATTTAGTCTCCCAACACTCAAGTATGTGTGTAGATATGGTCACAGGGCAGGGCTATTTGAATGTGGCCTGTGCTGCCCCAAGCTGGCACCAGCCTACAGGCTGACAGGCAGATGCATACAGTGTTTTTTTAAGAGAACGTGATCCGAGACCAGGGACTTGCTGCTTGCTGACTTTGCTACTGTCACCTAGGGCTCTGTGTGGCCAGAGGTAACCCTCAGCCCCTACATGCCACGCAGGGCACTGCCCTGTGCTGAGGGCAGGGGCGGGGTCCATGGGAATGAGGCACAGCACCTAGAGGCCAGGCTAAAAGCACCAACTTGGGAGAGGGGTCCCCAGCACCATCTTTAGAACTCACTGCTAGGTGGGGAGAAGCAGGGGTCCAGACCAGACTGATGAGGCCGGGCCAATGGGAAACCCAGTGCTCAGGCCTCCCACATGGAACCAGGGCAGGCTTGGCAAGCCCTGGCCAAGGCCACAGCCAGGACGTGTGTCAGCACTCCAAGGCAGCTGGGGTGGGGAGACACCAAGAACACCCACAGCAGCACAGAGAACCTGCAAGGACAAAGTGACAGGCAGGACCCTGGCCGCAAATGTGGGATGCGTGTTCCTGTAGGGTGTGGGGTGAGGGCCAGCCCTGGGGCCAGTGCCATTTTTGTGCATTTGAATAAATAAAGTTTCTATTCCCCTTGCTTTTCTTTCTTTTTAAGCTCACTGTGCATTATACAGTCTAAAAATAAATGCAGTCAAGTCTATGAAATTTATAAATTTTCATCACATCTCTATAAAATACCGTCACACATCAGCGTGACACTCTCCTATACAGAAACACCAGGGCGGATACAGGCCTGCCCCATGTTACCCAGCAGGCCTGCCCCAGCTGAAAAGCAATGGAATACAAAAGTAACTGCACTTGTTACACATGCCACCGCTCCGGGGCCAAGCACAAGCCTCCTTGAGCACCACTCAGAACAGCTTTGGGCCGCACAGGCCCCTTCCCATCAACGCTGACCCACTGTGCAATCCATCAGAAGGGCCCTGCGACCAGCTCCTCCCACCATGCCCGGATATCACAGGCAGGACCCTCAGCCAGTGATTCACAGTTGGGTCCGTCACAGTGACTGGGCAGTGGCCGATGGATCCAGGCAGGAGCAATGGCTCCAGAGCAGTGGGACACTGGCCACTAGGAACAGGGCCTTTTCAGAGCGACTTTCTGATAGCCCTTCAAAGGGCTGGCGCCTCTGGCTGGGCATGGGCAGGCATCGAGGACTGGCTTTGGCGTTGGTCAGCGTCCGGGGCAGCACCAAGAGGCGGAGGCAGGCGCAGGCCTGGAGGCCATAGCACCGGGTTTGCGGTGGCAGGCGGCTCGGTGGGGCCCGCCCTGCAGCCGGAGTCTTTTATATATAAAGTTCTCTCTTACATAGACATTTATACTTCTCAATAGGTTGCCTCTGACAACTCAGGTGGAATAAAATAAGTCAGAATTGTTTATACTTTTTAAAAAACGATAAATACTTTATCTAAAACTATTGACAGTACAGACTGGACCAGTCCCAGCACCTCCAGTGGTGTGCCGCCGATTCACAGTGGAGCTCCTCATCCTGCCCTTCTCTGCCGTCTGTCTGTCCTTCCATCTGGGGTGGGAGCCTGGCAGCGCAAGCACCGAGCAGCAGGTGCTTGGTCCACACTGCCCTTGCATAGGTCGCGCAGGTGAGGTAGAAATCCTAGTTACCTGCGGGGACAGTGGTGAGAGTGGCCAGTCAGCAGCATGCACGGCACAGCCCAGCACAGCTCAGGGGGCTGGGACAGAGTGTGAGCACACCCAGTGCAGAGTCACCACCCCCTGCCGGCCTGGAAGGAAGGCCAGAGGCAGGTGCTCCTGTGGGCAGCAGTGCTAGGCAGCCAGCCCGTGCAGCAGCAGATCCTGGCGTTCCTCCAGCTCCCTCATGTGCCAAGGGGACACAGGATCAGGCTACACCCACCCTACCTCTAGCACTTCTCAGGACAGTTTAGCCTGCACCCTAGCTGCAGCCATACATTCTCATCAGGAGCGCATCACCACTCTGTGGTCGGCCTCTGTGTCCATGTGCACCAAGAGCAGGGCAGACTGTCAGCTCTAGAGGATGCTTCTCAACTGCTCACCCAGTGGTACATCCTTGCCACACTGAACACCAGCCTCCTTGGGTGACAGGTGGGGCTGGCTGCATTGGGGGTTATTTCATTTTACAGTACCTGGGATGCAAGCCAGGGCCTTCAAACTGAGCCACATCCCTAGCCATTTTTTATTTTGAGATGGTCTTTGCTAAGCTGCCCAGGCTAAGTTCCAACCTACAATCCTGCCTCAGCCTCTGAAAATAATAGGATGAAAGGCTTGTGTCAACCACACCTGGCTATGGTTTTGGGTTTAAAGCCCCAAGGCACAGCCCTCTGGGGAGGACAAGACAGGGACCTCCTGCAGGCTGTGAACCCTTTTCTGTACTTTTTCTGTATGGCAGGCTCCAAGTGAGGGGCCAGCACACACCTCCCCATACACACAGCCTGGGCTCGGCTGGCCCAGGGCACAAAGCTTGCCCAGGCGGCCTAAGGGCCTCACCAGGTGGCCAAAGGCCACCCCATCTTTGGAGCCTGCTGCATTCCAGGGTCTCATGAGCCTTAGACTCTCCAAATACCCCATGGGGCACCTCAGCCCCTTTGCACTGTCAGCCCATAGCAGCCTCTCCAAGGCTGTGCCTGCCACCTCCCAGGTGCTGCCTTTCCCAGGCTGGTAGGAAGGGCCACAAGTGCACTGCCTGACCATCTACAGTAGGGCTCTGACCACAGCACCTCTTACTGCTACCCTACTCTCAGGGGCTCTTCTGCTCTGTGGGCAGGGGCTTCACAAGCCGGTGGCCACCAGGACTGGGCAGCCAGGGTCCCGACACACCTACTGATCTCCTGGCAGGTCCTGTTCACATGATGCTGGCCCTTTACCCTCCCCTCCAAAACTTGGGTCAACCAGCCACACCTTTCAAGGCACCACAGAGCAGCAGCTTTGACCCAGGCCCTCGGTAGACCCTTCTCTGTGCAGTGGAATGGTTTGGTTTTGGAGCAAACCACCTTGTCTGGCTCTAGCCTTACCTTACAAAATACGAACTGCTAGCTAAGCAAGCTCTTTATCGGGGCTTAACCCCCGAAAGGTGCGCGGCATAAGGAGGCGGCATGCCAAGGGAAACCCACACAGCAGATGGCCCCGTAGAGCTGGCTTGTGGGACGGTGGGCGCAGCCTGCGCCAGGGCCAGGCGGGATAGGGGCTGATGGTGCACCGTGAAGGAAGGGCGGGAGGCCTTGTGCGGGAGGGAGGCTAGCTTGACAGACAGAGAGGCGTTAGCAGGTTGTAGAGAGGCGGCAGAGGAAAGAGGTAAAAAAGCTTTGTTAGCTGGGATGGACGCTAGGTTCTGCAGAAGCACGGGCTCAGGGTTAGAAGCCAGCAGCGCAGGGGGAGGAGGCAAGGTGACGTTAGGTGGGGGGGGTGCATGGAGAATGCCCAGGTGCTGAGGAGGAAGCAGGGGAGGCGGAGGGGGCGGCCGCGTCTCGGCTGAGGCCGGGGCCTGAAAGGAAGAGGCCGAGGTGCTGGCCGCCGCCTGCAGTGGGCCCAGGCCCAGTGTGGCGCTGCTGCACACAGCCCCGCTGCCGACACTGGCTCCGAACGGGCGAGCAGAGGCGGAAGGCACCGCATGGTTAGAGACACCTGCAATGGGAGAGAAAACTCAGCTTCAACAGGCGGGCACAGTCTGCACACAGCTAAGAGAAGCACAGGCACAGCTGTGAGCAAGGCAGAAGCAGCAAGCCGCAGTTCCAGGTCGCAGGTGGCACAAGCGGCAAGTAGCAGACATGGCAGTGGACACTTACCTGTGGCCAGGCCGGGCCCCGCCCCTCCGGGCCCACCTGCCCGCCCGCGCCCAGCCAAGACTGCTCGCCCCTGCTGTCTGCTGAGCTGGGGCGGCTGCCCTGAGTAAGGACTGCCCTAGCTATGTGCACTGAGGTCCTCTGAAAACAAGAAGGATGTGTTACAGTGGGAACCCAC